CATATATGTAACTGGTCCTAGACAAGTAGCTTTCAGCAGGGACTAGTGAATCCCCTAACCTACCGGGTACATATATGAAACTAGTCCTAGACAAGTAGATTTCAGCAGGGACTAGTGAATCACCTAACCAACCGGGTACATATGTCACTAGTCCTAGACTAGTAGATTTCAGCAGGGAGTAGTGAATCACCTAACCTACCGGGTACATATGTCACTAGTCCTAGACTAGTAGATTTCAGCAGGGAGTAGTGAATCACCTAACCTACCGGGTACATATGTAACTTAGTCATAGACTAGTAGATTTCAGCAGGGACTAGTGAATCACCTAACCAACCGGGTACATATGTAACTGGTCCTAGACAAGTAGATTTCAGCCGGGACTAGTGAATCCCCTAACCTACCGGTTACATATATGTAACTAGTCCTAGACAAGTAGATTTCAGCAGGGACTAGTGAATCACCTAACCAACCGGGTACATATGTCACTAGTCCTAGACTAGTAGATTTCAGCAGGGAGTAGTGAATCACCTAACCTACCGGGTACATATGTAACTTAGTCATAGACTAGTAGATTTCAGCAGGGACTAGTGAATCACCTAACCTACCGGTTACATATATGTAACTGGACCTAGACTAGTAGATTTCAGCAGGGACTAGTGAATCACCTAACCAACCGGGTACATATGTCACTAGTCCTAGACTAGGAGATTTCAGCAGGGACTAGTGAATCCCCTAACCTTCCGGTTACATATATGTAACTGGTCCTAGACAAGTAGCTTTCAGCAGGGACTAGTGAATCCCCTAACCTACCGGGTACATATATGTAACTGGTCCTAGACAAGTAGATTTCAGCAGGGACTAGTGAATCCCCTAACCTACCGGGTACATATATGAAACTGCTCCTAGACTAGTAGATTTCAGCAGGGACTAGAGAATCCCCTAACCTACCGGTTACATATATGTAACTGGACCTAGACTAGTAGATTTCAGCAGGGACTAGTGAATCACCTAACCAACCGGGTACATATGTAACTGGTCCTAGACAAGTAGATTTCAACAGGGACTAGTGAATCACCTAACCTACCGGGTACATATGTCACTAGTCCTAGACTAGTAGATTTCAGCAGGGAGTAGTGAATCACCTAACCTACCGGGTACATATGTAACTTAGTCATAGACTAGTAGATTTCAGCAGGGACTAGTGAATCACCTAACCAACCGGGTACATATGTCACTAGTCCTAGACTAGTAGATTTCAGCAGGGACTAGTGAATCCACTAATCTACCGGGTACATATGTAACTGGTCCTTTGGACTTGTGAAAGTTATGTTATTGATCACAATTAGCAATTGACTGTCAGATTACAAAATTGAAATACTCCTCTCGAAACACTGCTTTAAATACAGGAAATTGCATCTTAGTTGTCAAAAACCTCTTGGACTTCACTATATTTCTATTGAAATACATACATGCAGAAGGTTTTTACATCCCATACAGTTGTTTACTTTTTCCATTTCATGTTTTGGATGTAAGTTTTAGGAAATCTCGGACTACCGGTAGTTACATTGGCGTAGGACTAGCAAATAATCTATTCAACTAGTCCTGTGGACTACCGATCAAAAATATTTACCATAGTGTCTAGCCCTGCCAACATTACCATTTTTTATCATTTCTTCAAATGCAGATACTTGAACATTTACATGGATGTCGATATTTTAACAGAATTATTGTAGCACCCCTACCATAAATATTTCAGTAGATGTACTTGCTGTAGTAAAATTTTATGCAAAGTTAAGAATGAAACCATCCGCAATTATCTATCTAAACCAATGTCTGCCCATTTGTGATTTTGTTACATTTTCTCAATTAAATGTTAGATTAATACAGGACAAGCTCAGCTGTCTGTGTCAAAATACCACCAAAATTAGTTCAAAGATACATTATAACTGCTGTTTATTTCACAAAAATATTGCAGAAGTAAAAACACATTTTAACAATTGATACTTGATTTAATACTTGGAACTATGCTTAGCAAATATTTTCAGGCCATTTTATCCAGACTTGTATGCTTTATTTCTACTTATAATTCTTGTCTAAAAGACACACAGAAATCTTTTCTTCGTAAATCTTATTGGTATATTCTTATTCGTAAATCGTATATGATTCTTATTTCATCGATATATTGTAATAAAATTACTACAAATGACAATGTCCTATAAAATGTTGCAACATAAAAACGCTGGAAAATGATTATACCAATCTTTAAATATATGTATATATATATTTATCTAATTTGTCTAAATTTTCCGGAGACAAGGAGACTAACAGCCTTGGATATATTTGTCTTTGGATTATAACCTAGGGCAGTATAGAAAGAAGTGATCCACATCTTCGTCATGGTTGCCACATATACACGATGGTCTATTAGTAAGATGGTCTCTAAAATATTAGTTCCAAAGCTAATTTAAAACATTTTTTATTCAATATTTTTCATTACTTGTTATTGTTCTGATCTTTTATCCTCTCAAAAAGAAATATTGTAGCCCTGAAAGGCACAAGGCTCCGAGCAGTCTATTTACAACTGTGGAGTAAAACATCAGACAAGTAAAGAAAAAAATCCAGGCCTCAGAAAAACAATCAATACTTTTCCCTGTGCACATCCTGTGGTTCATTCTATTAGATGCCTTTCAGATAAGCCCCTTTTCTAATCAAAATGACAAACTGACCGCTTTTGAAATTGAAGAGAAGTGAAACCGATGAGAAATGTTCAAGTATAGAAATTTACATTACACTGTGATAATATTTCTGCAAACATAAGATCTTCAAAAGATGTTTTTTTGGGGAGAGTAAGATCATGTTTAAATATATACCTCTAGGCTCTTGTTCCTAAATATGTGTTTTTGTGTTTGCTAGAGTTTAAGAAATATTTTCGTATGAGAAACACATTGTGATTATTTTAATATCATTGTGATCCTCGATTTCTTTTTTCTTCAATTGAGTTTCTGGAGAACATTATTTAATTTTCTAAATGGCATCACACTATAGATTTTTTTATTACTTTTTAGGTTCAAATCAGTGTACTAGCAAAATAATAATTGACAAATTCTTCAGTTTAATAAGGACTCCTGGTAAACATTTTTGCTACTGCCAAGTCTTTGGAAAAAAAAAAATCCATAGGGGTGCGCAAATCCAGAAATAAATTCTGATGCAAATGACGATTTCAATTATTATGTAAAACAAATCTGTCCATATGTTTAAAGTAGTAAATAATTATAAACTTTTATCATAGACAAAGGCCAAAAATAACCCTTAAATATGCCCCTGTAATAAAACAATACAACACTAAATAGTCAGATCCCCAAAGTGATCTCCCTTGGATTTTTCAATTGATTGTTTTATTTCCTTTATATTATAAACAATCAAGATGAAATGAGTATCAAACTATTTCCTGAAATAACTGGGAATGGCAAGTTTGAAAGCCTAAAACTAATATGTTTCACAATTAATTTCTGAAAATTGAGAAACCAGAAACAAAGTTCTGCTAGAAATCAAATTTGTCTAAAATTGGGCCATATATTTAGATCTAGAATATTCCTTTCGGGGGAAACAGCATAACCTGTAGAATAAGTAGAATGCAATTCTTTGTATTGTTGTTCCACTCTCAGTTTTTTCCTTGCAAATATAGATAAAATGTAACTGACATGCTGAATTTGTTTTATTCAAAATTTATTTACAGTAAAAATGTATCTGTTTATTTTAATTTTATCATTTGTACAGTTTAAATAAACATGTGATGTAGATGGATGGGTTTTTAGCCTTATCTGATATCATGAGGTACAAGGTACATCTATAAAACTGCAAACTTGCTTCCTCAATTTCAACCAACAGCTCAAAAATAGTGTATGCAGATCTGCTTAAGTCCATGAACAGTATCACTGACCAAACTGATTGCCCTACATATATCCACAGTTACATATCAAATCTACAAAATGACAATTGACGTCCTACAATCTACATTATGTAAATTATTGAAAGCTGTTAAGAATAATAGAAAACTATCTTTTTAACTATTTGATTTTTACTAGCAAAAAAAATTTCTACAGATCATATTTCCGGTAATCAAACTGTATCAATGAAAAACATAAACTGTTACACAATAAATTAAGAAAAAATATATATATAGTTTTGCTAAAGACCTTGAACACTCACATAGTGATCATACGATGTTAAAATATTATTGAAATTGAAACTGAAAGTGTAACGTAAAATACAAAGAGTTTGGAACATATCAACATAAATCAAATCCTCATTGCTACACCCCACTCAGTGGTAATGATATAAAACCAAGTCTTAGCAGCATAATGTCTTTAAAATTTCCATGAATACAGAAACAATATTTTTGTTCGACATAACTGTATTTATACACTTAACTGAAAATCATGTAAAATCTATTAACAGATTAAAAGAATTGTACTAAATGATTTGTGAAGTATTCCCATTTCCGATGATATTTAAGTGGTATATGATTGTAAATTTAAAGAGAAATTATTCATGCTCTGCCAAACTACCAATATAATTGACCTGCAAATTTATTCAACATCTTCATACCCACATGTACATGAATCACAACACCATTAGTCAAACTATTTGATGAAAGATATTGTTATCGCCTACTGTAACCAATAGTGCGATAACATGGCTGTTGAGTTTGATCAGGCTTTGTAAAATGAATTTTGTTTCAAAGAAACCACAACATTTACTAGTCAGCTAGTGTCAGTGTCACACTATCCAATGAAATAGCAAATGAGAAAAACAGCTGGTATACCGACGGCAATAGTGTTTATAAATCTAATCATCAGCGTATATTGGATACACGCACGTCAAGCTAGGATCTGTGCAAAATGCTTTCGTCGCTCAGGCGAATCAAGAGCTGGAACACAGATTCTAGCTTTATGATAATCATGATAATATTCGTCATGTCGGCTAAAAATCATACTTACTCGGTGGGACAAGACGGATCGTAGACGTCTGATTCTGACATTGTCGAGTCACCGTTACCCGGCGAACATGTTATGTTGATACGAAGACTGGGAAGTGACAAAAGCAGTTTGTCTAACAGCAAAGTCTTGCCGCTCTTGTTTGGAACCACTCGGTCAGGACAGCCATTGAGCGTTGTCGATTGCAATGTGCACCAACTCTCTCTCGATGTTTCTGTTCCTTTTTCTCCTCGCTTTCTCCTTGACGGCACCTGCTTATATCAAAACGACATCAATAGATACATACAATTACAATAATACAGCAATTAAGTTGTTGATTTCGGTCTTTTTGTGTATACTTGCAGTATATCCTTATCGAGTTCTCTTCCCACAGCTCTCACAAGCATAAAACAAGCACATTGGGGGTTTCCTTCAGGGGCGCCCACAGGGTAATTTATTATAAATATCAAAAGCAAATGCTCATCACCTGGATGATATTGCGATATTTCGTGTAAGAAAAAAATGTATTTTAACATTTGGCAAGTACGAAATATTCAGTCATTTCCTAGCAGTACCCATACATTTTATGATTAAACATTGCATAATGCATAAACACAGAATTGTGTACCTTTTGGGGTACTTTAAAATAGTACATCCGGGCAAGAATGTTTTTCATCACTTCTTTTTTATTTTGTTTATTTCTTTCAAGAAATCAGCATACAAATTCTTTCTTTGAAAGAATCTTCCTCGAAATCAATGTTAACCTTTTCTACGTGAATTTGAAAAATGATGCCTGTTTGTTGACGGTGAAGGCCATTTTGAGTTCGTAACGTAGAAGGAAAACCATCCTTAAAAATCCTCAATCATCAACACCAAAACAGGTGTTCCCATATTTTTTCTTTGGCAGATCACTTTAAAAGGGTTTTATGAACATCAACGCTCAATTTTCGACTCCATTAGGTAAGTATAGATATGTTATATTGTGCCATTTTTTTACCGGAAGTAATTTGTAAATATAGCGTACGCGTCAGCCATTAGTAGTCAAATGTTAGACTATCTACAAATACATACAGTGTAGATGGTATCAGATTAAAATTTGTATCTTGATATTGCCCAAGTTGATGTCTTAATTTGCTAATGACAAATCAATACACCCTTTTATCCTTTAAATCTATCGGTTTTACCGACAGTGTCTGTACTACCGTTTTGTTTATCCCTGTATTCTGTAAGGTGACAGTACCCAAATCGGATCACCGAACCACCATTGTATTAAATCATTGAAAAATCTGAGGAGGAATTAGATCCATTTAAGGTTGTATCTAAGGAAGAATATCAATGGGTGTTCCTACAAACTTAGCACCCGGGACTCACTTTAGATATTTGTAGAACGCTCTGAAGTCACCAATCAGTGTCTCCGGTTTTGCGAATGTCGGGACCCAAATCGGATCAAGGCTTGAATTTTGCAGTATCTTACGCTTCAAATGAATATTTTTTCGTCATCATATAAACAATTTATTATGACCTTAAGAATTTGTATGACAAAAAGTATTTCTATATTGTGGATTTATTCCTTTAGTCCAAAACAGAATACATGGTCGACGCACAGGCCTTTTTTCTAAAAACGTAAACAAACACCGACATTTGAGTTTTAATTACGTTTTCTAGTGATGTTTGAACTTAATAACTAATCATCTGTAGACAAAAAATGGTGCATGGCTATGCCTATCGATAGCCATGCACCATTTGTAATTCTAAAGTTACACAAGTATTAGCTTTCCAAAAAGCTAAGAGGGCTACCAACAGCGTTATTTATTAGTAAGCAGTTATAGTAAAGTTTGAGATAGATAAGTATGTAGAAGCTTGCATAGTTATGCTGAGAATTTATTGAAAATATATATAATTTGGTGATCAGTCTTCCACGAGCGGACAACTGTTACCCTGTTACTTAGTCAGGTGGTACTGTGGAGTTTCTCTCATACGCATGTTGTGAACAAGGTTACGTCGCATAACTGCAGGATTATTCCTCAGTTGAGGGACAGGCCTTTTCAAGGCCTGTAAAAACCCTGTTTCATAGTATATATATATATATATTCTTAACGAGTCTTCAGTACTTTCATCTCTTCTAGGAGATTCTTCAGACTGTTTCAAGCACAGACAGGGTAGACACAATAATATCATTCGCAGAAATAGAAACTGTAGCAAATGTGATTTGGGAGACGTCGAGGACGAATTTCATTTCATTTTTGTATGTCCTTTTTATAATGATTTGAGGTTAAAGTATATAAAGAAGTATTATTATAAGAGTCCCTCTGTTTACAAACTTGTCCAACTTTTATCTGTAAATAATGTCAAAGAGTTGTCAAATCTAGGTAAATATTTATATCTAGCCACTAAGCGGCGAAATTGATTAATTAGCTACACGTATTTATAATTTTTGTGCTTTTGTATTATGTTCTTTGTTTAGTTTGCACTTGTATGCTTATAGTCACTCTCCTATAACATATATACATGTACAATGTATCATGATTACTTTGTACCTATAAGTCTTAAGACTTTTGGTGAATAAAGAACTTGAACTTGAACAGACTGTTTCAAGCACTGGGCGAGTGCTTTGCAAGGGGATACCCAGACTGGATTGTATGAGTGTTACAATATGCCCATCCAGGGATGGAAGCAGTCATTGTTATAACTGATCTGTTGACACATTTATTTATTTCAAACTATTTTTGCAAAAAGTGAACCGATTTGGGTCCTGGCTCCTTACTTGCAACCCAGTAGGGCTGTCACAATATATCGGAAAATGGGTATATCGCAATACTGGGGTACAGTAAAAACCCATGTAATTTGCGCACTTTTTTTTCAGAAATTTAATACCCAAAGTGGGGGGTGCGTAAAATACACAGGTATAGAAAATTTCAAGTTTTTTTCAGGAAAAGATCGACGATTCTGGGAGATCGCCATCTTGGATTATTTCCCTTATTTATTATACACGGAACTCTAAGACAAATGACGGTCAACAAATTTATTTATGTCAAACATTAATAAAAGATACATAATGTGTTGTTATGTGAGTTTATGTGAAAAGTATTATTAAATAGGTAACCGTTAACAAAAAAAGTTTAGCCAAATTCCTATGCCAGAGAATCGCCGATCAACTTACGACATTACGTTTCGACATCTCGGTGCGTTTCCCCATACTATTACGAAAATGTAGTTGTTCAATTTAAGCTCCGTTCCATGTAAGTTCT